ATATATTTTATATATATATAAAATAATAATATCATTACCTATTACCTATCACCTATAGGTACACAAATAGGTAGATATCCAAAACAAAGTTTTTCCTTTTGCTTTCTCAGGTTTGGTAAGACTACAGCTGCAGTTCAGAGTGGGCTTCCACGAAGAAAGTTTTGACATGATTGGAAACCATGCTAACAGAATGATTAGACAATGTCATAAACATGACCAATAAAGAGAGATTGAAGGGTTTAAACCCTTCTTTGATGTGGAAGTTGTGAGCTTAGGAGTGGGGCAAAGGAAGAAGCATGAGCAAAAAGAGGCTGTCGAATATACATTGTAACAGTCTTCAAATGGGTTTCATGGCTGCAGTGGATAGGGGAGGTAGTATTGAGCTTACATTGTAGAAAGAAGTTTCAGGTGAGGTGCTGAGATCATGACAAACGGGAACAGAGCAGCCAGGAGGCTGTGGTGTCTCCACCACTGGACGAAACTACAGAGACATCTGTTATGAATGGTGGGATGATTTAAGTCCCTTTCTGAGGCCTCTTCCAGTCAAACAATTTTATTATTTTAAATTTAACAAAAAAGTTTCTCATTGTTTGGTGAGTGACCACCAGTTTGAATACATGTTGCCTTCCAGTGCTATCTGTGCAGCTATTCATTTTGGGAGTTCCCAGTTTTCCTGATTTAGCACCACATCAGCAGATTCAGAATGCCACTAGCTCAAATTAACTCCCCGAATCCAGACGTTAGGCACAAAAGGTCTATTAAATCATCCAAGTTCTTTTCCCGAGCCAGTAGACGGCTTCCTACCAGTTTTATATTTACTTGCATTGTTTCTGACAAGTTTGAAGTATGAAAAAACACTTCGCTAAGGAGGCTATTTCCCTCCTGAATTTGTTTCAGATAGATACCTCACTTAGTTCTCTCTCCATATCATTATACCGATATCCCTTTCATGCTTTTCCTCCACCAGGTGCTGAAGCATCCCTGCCTAATCTGTGAGACTATTGTGATACTGGTCCAGTTAAGAATAACCAAATTGCCTAGAGATAATATAGCTCTGCATGCAGAAGTTTAATATTAGCTTAGCTCATGCACCTACAGCAGATGCTTAGAGACAGATAAAAAAATCCTTCCCACCATATACCATCTGATGGTCAACAGCATCACAAAATTTCTCCTTTGAGGAATTTCCTGTATCTTTCCCTCTTCTATGAGAGAAATTCTAATTTCTTTGTGGTGGTGTCCAGGTAATTTTTTTTTTTTTTTGTCAGCCTTATCTTACTACTTTTTTGCCCCTGCTTCTAGTCTCTGTAATTTTCAAAGACAAACTTCATCTCATATACTCAGTTACTGCATTTACTGAAATTCTTTCCCAGTAATTTCACTGGGTTCACAGCCTACAGTAGACTCTCAATGCCTGATTTTGATTCATTGCATGGAAGATCTAATTTTCCTCACACCACTATTTCCAAGCATAACCTTACTAGCGAAGTAAGTTGATAAAACATTCAAGCCTATGAAAAAAATAGATGAGAGAGACCATACTATATCTATAAGCAATTATATACCACCTGCTCTATCCAATGAGGAAACTAGGAATAGATTGTAAATAATTTGAGAGAGACGTCCAGCTAAGTCTAACTAGAAGGAATGTAGTTAGATTGCGTACAAAAAGATCAGTTTAGAGTATCTCAACCAAGGTGTAGGAGGAAAAAAAAAGCTTCACACAGATGTTTCTTGGAAGGTACAATCAGAAGAAGAAAAAAAAAGCTGGACCATGTTAATTGGACACGAAGAGGTGTGGAAAATTTTGAAAGAGATGTAAGCCTCTCAATCTAATCATTCTTGCTTCAAGCCATGATAAACAATTGATCTGCAGAGTTCACTCCATCCCTGTCTGCCTAAACTTAACAACAGTGATCAGGCATCCGTATCTGGCATTTGCTTTTTTCCTACACACTGGAATTTCACTCTGAAAAGTAACAATTCAAAATATCCTCTTCATTCTCACAGTAACAGAAACGTGTACTTTTACCTCAAATCCAAGAGGCCTTTGCCATCGCATTTTCCAGGAATAGAGAGTCTTCTGTCTCTGAGCAAAGCTGAGTGGCTTACCCCTACTCCCTGGACTCACCTCAGCAACTGTTTTGTATTTCCCCTACATCAGAAACAACAATAGGGAGCTCTACTGCCTAGTGAGTCCCGAAAAATAAACTCTTTACGTCTAACACCATGAACTACCAT